GCAAATGTTTCAACAAGCGTTTCAAAATAAGCAGTTTCATAACACAACTTACCACTGTCCCGATACCCATCTATATATATATTTAATATTTTTATACTTTCGCAATCTCGAATAGGTTTTAATAATATAGGCAAAGTAATGTAAAAGTTTATATTATTATAATGTAAACACAACTGTTTGAGTTTGTAATATTTAAGAAATTTAATAAAAGCAAATATATCATATTCGTTAATTATAGTTATTTTAACTGAATTTATAGTTATATATTTTTTACGAATTTCTAATATTAAAGTTGAAATTGCTTCTTCACAATTTTCTTGGTTAAACTTATAAGTATCTAAATTTAAAAAATCAATACAAGACATTTTAACTTACCAGTTTGATGCAAGCAGTATGATGAATTTATCCGATCAACTGAACACGATGAAGTGAAAATTATTAATCAAAATCAGCTCTTTATATACGCAGAGACCGTCATGGAAAATTCTGTCTGGTAAAACCCAATCATTGAAAATTTTAGTTAATAACCATACGGGTATGTTAATTGATCTTTTAAATATCTTTTATCAGATGTAACCCTGAATTTTTTCTCAAAATATCTAGTTTTAATTTGACAATTTCTATCTAAATCAAATGTGCGTTGCTGAACATAAACCGGTTCAGTATCAGGATTTGTTGCCAATTGAATAATTTTATCAAAATTTAAATTAAGTTTTGCAAGATGATTAAAATTTATTCCTTTAAATTTATATTGTGATTTTTTTCCATTACTAGTTTGCACACTATAACCATAACTTTTAGGTCCTAACGAAGCAAATTCAATACACTTAGACTCTGACCCATAATCTTTACTAATCTCATCTGTTAAATCACCTAAATAATCACCACATTCAATCTCAGGGTCGTTGACATTTCTACAATATAACACAGAATCAGTATCATGATACAGTAAACTATAAGGTCTAATTAATTCAATTTGATCCATAAGTTTATAAAGTTTAATACGAGCATAAGCGGTTACAAAGCTTGCAACAGTTAAATTATATTTTCGCGCTCTAGCCATTTCATCTTTCTTATACACCCAAGTTAAAATCATTGTATCATCAGTAACCATAAAATCCCCTTTATCTTCTATGTCATTATTTAATATTATATCAAAGTAATCACTTATGGAATTAATTATTACAGTTTTAGTTTGATTTGGTTTTTGAGCAAATTTTCCCCAAAATGAATTTAGCATTATTTTAGCAATCCAACGTAAAGTTTCATTCTTTTCAATTTTATCATATTCCAATTCAATATTTTCTTTATTTTTATAATTATCTATATATTGTTTTTTATCTTCATCGGTATTACACCAATTAGGCCACCCAGATGCCTGTTGTTTAATTTTGAGCCACATGTCAATATATTTAATAAAATTATTGTCATTAATATCACATTTAAAATTTAAAACCTCGTAAATTTCTTTTCCTCGGTATTACACCAATTAGGCCACCCAGATGCCTGTTGTTTAATTTTGAGCCACATGTCAATATATTTAATAAAATTATTGTCATTAATATCACATTTAAAATTTAAAACCTCGTAAATTTCTTCTATTAAATATCCCTTTTCAATAGCTAAAATTAATTCCTCGCTAACCCATGTACCTGTAAATGATCTATTATCACACTTACATTCAACCGCTTTTTGTTTTGCACATTCAACACATAACGGAAATGTTAATTTTTTATTAACGACTACAGGCAATACAGGTAAGTATAACCCTGTAGGAGCCCTAACTTTACATTTAATTATACCAAAGTAACTTTGTAGTGTATAATCGAAATTTTTGTTTATTACTTCCGGGTGTCCAACCGGATATGGAAAATATTTTAACACAAACGGGTAAAGACTGCAGAAATCTAAATATTTAATCTCCTCATCCTCACTAACATGTTTGTAAAATTGTATATTATTTGTCCTACCACCAAAGAAAGCTTCCCTTATATTAATTGGTCCAACTTTATGTAAAGTATTATAATATTTATATCTACAATTATAAAAAATTTTAAATTCTAAATTGTCAGAGATATTCTTTTTTAATTGACACCCCCAAAGACTAATAACATTATAATTATTTCTTAAAAAATTTAATTTTTCGACAACTTGTTCATTCCGTTCATTCAAACTATAAGCTACATCTCTATTTATTATATATTTTTTAGTTCTATCAATAAAGTTTTGGCATAAACACCCATGCCAATAACACCCCAAAAATTCATATACAGTATTATTTGTTTCATCATACCCATCTACCCAATATTTTCCTATTCGATATTCCCTATTTAAAGTAATTGAATTTTCTTTTTCAATCCAATCTAACCAGCAATTACTTGGTTTTGAAAATATTTTTGATTTTTTATATCCCTCAACTGGAGTATTTGCCAGTTTATCATAATCTAAAAATAAAGTAGTAAACGTTTCCATAGCAATAGACGCTAGCGTAAATGATCTTGTAATAGGGTCTAAACCAGTTATTTCTTTGAAAACTTCTCTAAATTTTAACACACATTTCAACAATATATCTACATCATTACGACAGTAACTAATTAACTCATCTTTAAAGCACCAATCATTTTTATTTAGTTGCGTTTGATGCCATTCTTCCAATTTTAATTTCTTTTCATCTGACATATAGTTTGTACAAAAATATTTTAAGTCAGGAATTTTCCCAATATAATTATAATTGTTAGGTTTATTAAATAGATGGGGGAAATCCCCCTTTTTAACAGTCACATCTAATCCTAATGCCTTTGGTAATTTTTCTAAAGGTTGTAGAAAGAAATTTAAAGAATCCAACATTTTTACATTCCCACATTTAATAAATAATATTTTTCTGCCTCTCAATATAACATCTACTTTATCGTAATATCTGTTCCATAATTCCCTCAGCACAAACTGTGCATCATAAGAACGAGCATTATGAGCAAATGCATAAATTAAGGATTTAGTTTTTTCTGCTAATATGGCCAAGTCTTGAAATAAATAATCAACAAATTTATGAATACAGTCATTTCCAAAAAATACATTAGTTTCTTGTTTACAGATTACACAATTTGACCAATCTTTACATAAATCACATTGAACTTTTGAAATTAACAAGTTAGGAATATGATCACCATTTTCTTGAGTACATTCTATATCATACGAAACTATAAATTTATTAATATTATCTTCTGCAACTAAGTCACATTTTAACTTAGGTTCAATAAAACAATAATGTGGTTGAGTATTGTATTCTTTATTACATTTATTACACCTAAAAGCACCACACACATGTTTCATTTGACCTTTATAACTAAGATTACAATTCAGACAGGTTTTTAAATTTTTGCATAAATGATTATTTTTGTGATTTGTAAAGCATTCATTATTTTTAAAACATCTATTACAATCATTACACGTAATTAGTTCAATAGTATCTGTATTGCAAATCATATAACACGTGTTTTTAAATTTTTGCATAAATGATTATTTTTGTGATTTGTAAAGCACTCATTATTTTTAAAACATCTATTACAATCATTACACGTAATTAGTTCAATAGTATCTGTATTGCAAATCATATAACACGCTTCACATTTAAACGGACATTTATGTTTAACAAAAGTACTATAACCATAGTGACAATATAAACAGAAATAATGAGTACCATAATAACCCTTTATATTTGTAATTGAATTATAATGTCTATCATTATATTGAATATATATTTTATTTTCGTTATCTGGTCCTTTAAATAAGATATTATATTTATTTAAAGAATCAATAACATATATCTGATAATTATTTAATTTAGTTTGTATAATTTTCCATTCTTCAATTCCAATACATTGATTAACATTCATACCTAGAAAATTCGCCAACTCTTCAGCCATTTCTAATTGTTTAGGTCTGTCTGATCTTATTAAATATTGCCATTCTTTTTTATTCAAATTACTTTTATTATCGCACAAGTATTTAGATACACATAAAGCTCTAAATCCACAAGTTTCATCGTCGTTATTTATTGTTACTACAGACAATTTTGTTTTATTCATTTGATCAATAGTTTTAGGGGCTTTAGGAATTTTTTTATTTCCTGAACCTACAGGATTTTTCGTTACTATTACTACTAATTCAAATTGACCACTTGTTAGAAAAATTTTTACACTTTGACAAATTTTTTCAATTCTATTAAATATATTTTCAATATTATAATTTATTACTTTACAAGGAGCAATAAATACAGGAGTTTCCATACTAGGATGGATTAAAGAAATTGAAAAGAAATCTTCATCACTAGCAGATTGAAGACAACTTTGAATTAACGTACCTATTTTTTCCATAATTTCTTCTGATAGTTCAATTAAATCTACTTCTGATGATATATTATGTTTAATCATAAAATTAGTTTTATATTCAGTTCTATTAAATTTATTGTACGCTTTGGTAGACGTACCGTTAACAATAACTAAATCAAGATGTGAAGACATGGTTAAAAATTATATATTAAATTCGTTACTATTATAAGAAAACTAGATTTAATGGTAACCCAAGACAATACAAGTTAAATCAAAACGTATCAGAATTATTTGCTATTATAGAAAAACAATACAAAATTATTTACCTTTATAGTGGTGATGTGGTTGTTAGCGAAAGTTATCCAATTCGTTTTGAGAACCAAAGCAGTTGATCTTTAACCAAAGCGATGCAGTTAACAAATGACAAATTCGATGCCTATTATATACTCTCAAAAATGGTAAATCATGTAATATTTCAACCAATGAGCGATTTTTAAATATTTTAAAATGATGTTGGGTTTTTCCAATAAACTGGTTATTACTAGTTTTTAAACTGGTTATTACTAGTTTTAAACTGGTTATTTCTAGTTTTTAAACTGGTTATTACTAGTTTGTGGTTTTTCCTACAAAAACTGGCTACGAAAAATATGTACGACAAGTTTTTATAATACCCTGGCGGCATATTGGACAATTTTTAATACGAGCACGTGATGAACAATTAGTACAAATTTGATGGCCACATGGAATTAACACAATACCAATCTCGTATTCTAAACAAATCTTGCATGTTAATAATTCATGAGAAGCAATTTTAAGATTAACAGGGGAGGGAATGTTGTAATTTGTAGATTGATTTTCTAGATAACACTGAATTGACTCATACAATTCTGCAAAATTACTAAAAGGTACGTTACATTCATCATATCTTTTACTCATTATATTTAATAACTGATTATAAGTAACTAATTCTAATTCTAGAGCATGTACAGCAATATTTTCACTTACCCATATTCCTACGTAATAGTTTCTAAAAATAGACATTGGAGGTGGAGGATCCACAATATCATCATCATCAATATCGCTATGTATTTCTATAGGAACATCTTGATAATCATCATCATCACTATCACTATCACTGTCGCTTTGTATTTCCCTTTGTATATAATTTTGAACTGCCTCGTATAATTCTGCAAAATTACGATATGGTCCCCTCCCCTCATTCCATTTCAACGTCATTACATCTTTTAGCTGATTATATGTTGCAAATTCTAAAGTTAATATCTGTACTGCAATATCCTCTCGCAACCAACTTCGCACATTTGTTTCTCTATAACCTAATGCATTTGAATTTCCCGCTACATCACGGTCATGTCTTGCTGTATCAACAATAAACTGTAAACCCTTCACAGCCATAACAAATTCACATATTGGACTCCATTTTGCATGCTCTCTCCAAGCCTCATCCCAAATTTGCCAATTACTCAACACACATTCACATTTAAAACACTTTACACAATCACTTACCCCAACCGAGTAGAAACCAGCTTCAGCCAACGCAGCCGACGACACATCAAACAAAGTATTCCAATCGCTGCTATATGTTGCCAATCGTTCTTCTAACGTATCATATGTAGGAGGAAATAAATTGCGCACATTTACTATAACTTCGTCCATGGTGAATAATCATTTAAAGTCAAAACTCACAAGCTATTATATACTATATTATATCCAATCAAAAGATTTCAAGTATTTTTCAATGACGACCAATCAAATCATTCATTTATTTTTCAATGACGACCAATGAAATCATTTTAATTATTATTCAATGATGCTGACGTCATAATATTTAAGTATAAAAGCGAATGTAATTTCAAATAAATTCAACATTCTTAAAAAATGGGCAAACGATTTGTAAACGGTGAACCGAAACGAATATATTCAAGTTATATATGTACTTGTGTTTATTGTAAAGTGACATTATACGGTGGGGAAACTCCCCCTCATCTTGTCAACTGTGCAAATTCACATCTTGCATCAACAAATGAACAGAAAAGAATGGATTTAATTCTCCACTTTTTGGGAAAAAAAGATACTATAAACATTAATCTTTCATTGACTGAATATGCATTGATGGTTGCTCGACTTTATAAGTTCTTTTATATAATGCGAACCACGTTTAATATACATTATGCAATGAATCGATTAAATCATATTACTAAAGTTGAAAAGTGGATACTATATACGTATTCTGAAGAGATTGGTTCTCATACCTTGCCGATATTTCAAAGTATTTTGGATTTAATGCCTGAATGCTTCCAACCTGGAGAACCTGATGAACCGGAAAAGTCATATATTTATCAAGATGACTTGGGTTACGTAGATGGCGCTTATAAATATAAACTATTTAATGCCCAAATGTTTTGCCGAGAACATCCGATAATTATTACGGATGATATATTAACCTGGCAAGATGGCGAATACGAAAATAAACATGACTAATAATCTTTAAAACATTCTTTATTTAACTTAATCTTATATTGTCATAATTTACAATTCTGTTTGAATTATGTAATGAACAATTTAACTGTAACTTTTTAATTAAATTTTCTATAATTATTAATTTATTCATAATGACAATTGTTAAAACACAAATAATAATTAATAAACTAATCATATTTATTACTGATAAATGTTTTTTAAAACACTTTAATTTATCGATAAAATTAAATTCCATTTTATATTTAAATAAAATAAAATGTTTACTTCCTAATATACGGTTCAATTTCTTTAATTGCATCAGTAAATACGCCACACAAATGACTTTGTGATTTGAATCCAGTACCAAATAATACGCCGTTATGTGTGAGAGTTAGCTTTTTTCCAAGGATAATATACTTTAGAGATATGAATAATTCGGGTGTGTAGTCGCATTGTTTAGGTCGCTCTTTACATAGAGTATTTATATCCATTTTAGCTCCAAATTTATAAGATGCACAGTAATTTGTAATTGAAAATTTAATCAGTCTAGCGTCGTATGGGCCAAGGCAATTCAATGTAAACACAAGATCATTTGCAGCAGTTTCGAGTTCCACTTCACTTTTGCCACCAGTTAATACAACTGTTCCTGTGGTGTACATCATAAACGTAATCTTAGTATTATTATATTTGGCAGTCAGTCCACTAAACTTTTTTGGATCATAATTTTTTTTCGTTAATATATCGTAAAATTCATTGTCTAAAATTTCAAACAAGTTTAAATAGCACCCCATATTAAATTTAGCACAAATATTCGTGACTGTTATGTTTGGATGCATTATTAATACTAAATTGATATTTGTTGTACACACAATTATATAAATAGATTTTAGTAAAAATTATTTTGTGATTGGTTGATCTAATGTACGTCATGGTTTTTCCAATGTTTGACATCATGTTTTAATGTGATTGGTTTTGTTCATGTGCGTCATGGTTTTTCCAAGGTTTGGCATCATGTTTTATTTCAACTTTTATGTGATTGGTTTTGTTCATGTGCGTCATGGGTTTTCCAAGGTTTGGCATCATGTTTTATTTCAACTTTTAAGTGATTGGTTAACGATATAAATCATGCATTATTCTGATTGGTTTAGTGTTTTTGATGTTTGGTATATAAATGCAATGTTTTGAGTAGCATTCTATCACTTGTTCAAAGTAACAAAGTTTGCTTTAAAAATGAATAGTTATAATTCTCAAGACCGAGATTTAATTTTTAACCGAATGGTGAAAGTTCGTTACACTCCGTATAACGACTGGACTCAAAGCCAATTTTATCGGTTTTATCGCGACGTTGTTTGTGGCACATCAAAAGCAACATTTTATCGCATAATGGCGTATGGATTTGATGGCGTACCAAAAATTTCATTTGGGTCTGTAAAGTCTCTCGAGTTAATTAAACTATACACTTCGGGAAACGAATTTAAAATGATGAAAGAAATTGTCAACTACTTTGCACCATCACGCAAACACCACCATTTTGAAAATCACCCAAACTATCGCAATGAACAACGTTGTCTGGATCTAATACGTGAGTCAACCCGAAACGATCACAATATCATGATAAAGGATGGCTTTAACTTTCGACTACCAAACATGCCATTTGTCGGTGGTGAGATCGATGGACTCGGTTACGTCAACAACAAACCAGAATTTATTATTGAAGTGAAATCCATTGCCCTGTTGAAACACAATTCTATAGATGATGTGTTCATTGACGGACAATTGGACTTGGACAACAAACACCGAAAACGGGACCTTTATTTCAATCGCAAACAACATGGCATTTACAAGCAAAACAACATCTGGAAAGTGTCTGTACATTCCCGACACTATCACCAAATTCAGATGGCGCTACACGCACTCGATTTACAGTATGGGTACTTATGTTTTTATGCCAAGGCCACTAAAGATTTTTTCAATATTAGAGTTGATAAAGATTTATATTACATAAATCAAACTCTACCTAAAATTGAATATATATACTTTAAATATATTATTCAGTTTCTTTATCATTTAAATAAAAACCAATTGTTATAATTAAAAATATTTTTATTGTAATTCAATTAAAATAATACATTACACTTTAAAATACATGTTATATTTCAATGTATTTATATAAATGTTTAAAAATTGTCAATAAAAAATTTAAAAAACAATATAAATTTATTCTATAGACTGGTTAATATAATTATATTCGGAAAAGTTGGTAGGAATGTCAAGTTCAACAGCTCGAGTAATTAGTTTATTTTCAATTTCGTTTAAGTTATGCAACAATTTATTTAATTCTTCCGTTTCAATCATTATTTTTCGCTCTGTATTGTCTGACCGTTTAAGCGTTACCAATACTTCATTTAATGTTTTGTCAATTTTTATGATTCTATTGCCATGTTCAAGTGTATATATGCGCTTTTCGTTGGAGACTATGGCATTTTTAAACCACTCAAATTCCGGTACAAGTAACGAAACACCAGCTTTAGTACAGCGTCCTTTGTATGTTTGTCGCACGTCATAAATAAGCCCCATATCTCGACTTTCCAATACTTGAGCCAATTTAAAATCCTTGTCTTTATTATTACTTAAGTTTAAAGTGTAAACAGGTTTCCACATTTGATACATTATTATTGAATATGATTTGATAATATATAAATTTTGAAAGAAACCCATCCTATTATAGATTTACTCCATGCTATTTTGATAGTATTCGAGTTCTCTATATAAATCACAAGCTTTTCTATAAGCACATATTAATTTAGGGCGTTTATGGTTCGTCTCCTTATGCCAATTATTATAATGTGGAGGTTTTTTATGATAACCACATAAATATGGTTCGTTTAGCCTATCTTGAATTTCTTTATATGGCGGGAAATTTAATTCCTTTTCCAAGTCAATTCGAGGAATATCAAGTGATTGTAAAATATTACCCATTTGGTAACCTTTATAACCAAATAAAGGCTTATCTTCTGTGGCAGTTGTATCATACCACTTGTTTAAAATTACACCAATATCTTTAGCCATTGGTAAATAATTTTTATCTTTAGGATTAAAAGGTTTGTAATGTAAGCCATGGATTTCTTTAATTGAATATTTGATAGTTCGTTGATCTTTCGTTGATAGATTATCATAATCTATATCAGCATTAAGCTCTCTGCATTCACCAATTCCAATCCCAACTATAGCCACTTCCCTAGGTACAAAATTATCTGTCAACTGATAACCTTGACAATCTACAATCGCGCAAATTTGATCCATTTCTTATTTACGTCTCCTTCTTTTTCGCTTCCTATTATTAAAATTTACTCGTTTTATTACAATTCTTTTGCGTTTAATTAGCCTACGCCTCTTAATTCGCCTGCCTTTACCCTGTTGCTTATATAATGGGTTTTTAAATGATAAATTTGGTTGTGAATAACTCTTGAATGTTTCAGTTTTATCAGGTAATAACAATTCTAAGCTATCATGAAGTCTATTACCTTTCTTTTTCTTGCGTAATTTATTGAAGAAATTAAATTTAGAACGTAATTTATCCATTTTTAAAAAATTTTATTAATTAACTTACTATTATATACTATTTAAAACTATTATATCGTTAATACATTGATTATTATTATATATACTTAAAAATTTGGAAAAGTTTATTGAATTACATCTAGATTTTATAAATAAAATACAATACAATCCGCAGTTACTTGAAAACATGCATTGAATTGAATTATGATTGTATATTAATTTGTTTATATTGTTTAATGCCAATAATTTATCAACTTCCTTTAAAGGTTTTCCACCAAAAGAATCGAAATATTCAGCTACATAATCCTTTGTTATATATAATGCTACCCAATGTTCTCCTGGCTTATCTGATGTATCAGTATTTATAATAAATCCAATAGGTCTTTCGCTATATAATTGTTGTGGTAGCACATTTCTTGCAAATGTACCTTTAAAGCAATGTAAATCTTTGAGTTGGTTGTTTATTTCATCTGTATCCATTTTAAATGTTTAGATTAATCTTTAATCTATTATTAACTTAATTATAATCAACAAAAACGTCTCTAGCCCCATCAATTTCTACTAGATTATCGTATTCGCAGTACATTATAATATTAATATTTTTAGGTAGTGCATTT